GTTTAGATATACCAATATGTTCATTTTCGTGTAACAATTTGTCGCGCTCTCTGAGAAATCCCTCGTGGCAGTAGTGACAGGAGAACTTGCGATCGGTGAAGTGACATAGATTGATGTGGTCGTTGTAGTTGATAATACCTATAGAAAATAGATAGAATACCATTACTTTTTTTACTCTCTAGTGAAACAAAAAAATATTACAGGCTACGATTATAAAATTGTACTTCATAAAACTGGAAAACCTGCGTAGGCCTTATATTATGCTTTTAAAAGATTTGCCCACCGTAAAAGATCATTCTGCACCCCATGAAGGGACACTGCCGCGGCGTGGTGTCCATCAAGCAGTTCCTCTGCACGGACTGCACGTAGCTCAGTATGACCGGACTCTGTCGCTCTCTCAGCGCGGACTCAGAGAACACTTTTTTTGCGCCCCGAAGCCGACGAAATCGCAACCCGCGTCGCCGGCGCTTCTCATAGCGATTGCTGATGTTGTTGTCGCTCGCCGCGTACATGTGGGGGGAGGGTAGGCCGTTGTTGGACTTCTCTCGTCTTATGCCGAGTATACGTTGGAGGAACAGCTGGAAACGCGTCGGCTTCGGTTGCGAGTCCTTCATCATGAGGAACGGTGCCGCGTGCAGGATTTCCGAGGTTTGCGTGCACTCGCATTCCTTTTCGCTAGTGGTTACTGAGAGGAGATCTTTGCAGTCCTGTGTGTACTTGTCGCGGCGTACGAGAGACTCTTGCGTTGAGATGGATGTGTATTGTAGCTTGAGGTCGCGCATGACGGCCGTGGTGAGCGAGCTGCGCTCGGCGGGTGCGAGGGCGGGTGCTGGCGGCGCAGCCTGCTCAGTGGTGCCGGCGCACGCGTCTGTCTTGGTACGGTGAGAGCGTCGACGACGCGAGTGTCGCCGCTCCCCGCGCCCCTCCGCGCCATACGGCTCCGGTAAGATGCCAATTACACTCGCATCGTATATTTGGAACAGCTTCTTGAGACATTTGTACTTGGCCTTCAGGACCTCGTGCTTCTTCTTCGGTATCCATTTGCAGACATCTTCGTCGGTCTCTTCCTTTCCGGAGTCACTCATCAATGTCGGAAGTTTCTTATCCAACATTGATATGAAGCTTGAAAGGTAACAAATAATTTTACAAAGGAAAAAGAACGACACACTCGCGTAAATTTGAAAATGATACGGTATCATAACTAAGGCACTTTTTCAATAGATTTTGCGTAGGTTTTTTATAAAATCGAAACACTTCCCGATAGAGTGCATTGTGCTATGACGTTTTTGTCAATTGCAATGAGAAAACGTCTTTTCGATTTTATTTTTCTAAAAGAATTACCTATAGAGTATTTATGGAGTGTTCTATTTAGTTAAAAATAATCAAAAGTTCAGTTGAACCTTCTGATCTTAATTATCTAATCATAATAAAACTAATATTATAGTTAACTAAATGTGAAAGTTAGAGTTTGTAGCCGCTGCTGAACCGGTCTTTATGAAATTTGGTATATATGTAAAGGATAGTCTGGAAGAACGCATTGGCTACTCACTTTTGTGTTTTTATGTTTACGTATGTCTAGTCCAACAGCAAATGGACTTACTATAGGGCCTAATATATGTCAAAAGTGAAACAGAACTACCATTCATTACAAACATTTATTTGGTTTATTTATATAAATTAAAAATATTCACAATACAATTATTAAACTAGTAAAATAATTAAGTACAGTCATTTATTTTATCCGAATGAACCTTCCGGCATTAGAAGACCTGAAACAAAAATAAAGAAATGCTGAACTCCAGTAAAGTTTTAATACAATTTAGTTTATAGTCGTATTTAAACAAACTTACCCGCTATGCAAGCCGTCATAAAGCAAATACCGCATCCAGTGAAAAATGCTCGCACTGCCACCTAAAAATGATCAAAATAGGAGTTAATTAAGTTAACAGTCAATTAAATGGTCCCTTAGAGCAGGCGCGTTTGACTAAACAATCACACGACAGTTCTGCGATTGTTGATGTTTCGCATCCGTTAAGTCGGACAACTAATGGAGTATTGTACCTCCATATAAGCTCATAGGAATCAAAGCGAGACTGAATAGTTGTGCGATAGTTTAGTCAACTCGTGCGTACTCCTAGTGATGAGTAAACATACGCTGGAGAGTGTCTCTCGCTGCGCGGGCGCCATGGCGGAGATGGCACCGATCATGATTCC